GATACAGGAGAAAAGACTAAGAAATCTTTCCTGGATCAACTGGAAGTGATTTGACTTTAAGCAGAGTATGATGATTAACGTTTAGTGGTAAACCAAATCGTCATATGGTCCTCGGAAAGAGATTCATCAAATTTTGACGATCAGTTAGAATTTCTTGCATCCATATCCGTCACAAAACAGACAACCCTCACATAACGAACTCATTCGAAAGGAACACTACAGTAACTGTTGTGGTTTTTAAGATTTATTGACTTTGGAACGGTAGTATATAATATAAGATTGCTTAAATAGACTGTAAAAGAGACGGTTTTTGTATTTCAGCAAAACACTCGGTTCTGCTGACAAAATCTACGAATATTCTTAACAAATTTTGGAAAATGTACCGCGTGTTGATAACTAGTTATTTCGAGAATTCTCTTTATTTTCCAATTACAAATTATAATTACTTATTCCCGATTTATAAAATGCTCTTTTCCTATCTAATCCCACCAGTTTATAAATCTTCTTATTCCGGTTCAATGAATGTATTGATTGTTAAAAAGCCTGACTATACTCGATTGGCAATTTATCTGCATAACCCATTATCTTGGGAATGTTACCACTTAGGGAATTCGCACAGTGAACTGAACAAAAAGAATTTTACGACCAAAATCAAGAAACATGATGATCAGTATTGCTAAGGTAAAGCAAAGAAAGATTCATTGATTTCTGTCGATCATTTTTGGCTTCGTCTGTGTTACGAATATGACAGCTTTGTTCTTCGGCAAGCACTATTGCTTTTTAGATAGTTCAGTGTAACTTTAACCGTCTTCTTTTGCTTATCCCGTTCAGATACATTACGTGATTCAACAGCAAGCTGAGAATCAAGCTATGCAAGAATTTCGTGTGTCCCCTAACGGGTACATATATGTGGCGCGCGGTAACTTGGATCGTGAAAAAATGTCCAGTTACAACTTCCATCTCATTGCCATTGATTCTGGTGTGCCACCTCTATCATCTACCACCCAAGTGCATATCTACGTCACAGATGTTAATGACAATTCACCTACGTGGCAGTTCCCTGCACACAATAATCAGGCGGTTAATTTGACCGTTAGTGAACCAGTTGGCTATCGATTGGCTCAGCTCAGTGCCTTAGATCCTGATGAAGGAGAGAATGGTGAGGTGACCTATCGGTTAGTTCAAACCAGTGTGCTTACCGTGCGCGATGATTCGGAACGGGCTAACGCGTTAGGTCAAAAAGGTGGGGCGGAACAAGGTGGCTTCGGTTCCTATCACCCAAATGAGCCAAACTATATCCGACCGAGTCCGCTAAACCGACAAGCTGCAGGAAATTTGTTTGAATTAGATCCAAGCAGTGGATCTATTTACGTTGGACGTTCGATGAGTTTAGACGACATCGGAACGGTCAAGTTGGTAGTTGAAGCGAGGGACCATGGAAAACCGCCGCGGGTCAATCATCGTGTACTGCATGTAAATATCTTGCGCTACATGACTCAAACAAGTGCATTTAACTCCAATGGAGGAGACGAACCTGGTTTGGTTGGTACTGACAAAAGTCGGCATCGAACACAGAACTCGACAAGTGGAAGCCATATTGAAAACGATTTGATCGTGATCGTCATCATGGTTGCCGTGACACTCATTATCTCGTTGGCTTTGATCATAGCCATTCTGTTCCTACGATGCGGTGCTTGTCCGTCACGGAATGCCGCACGGTATAATCCCAGTGAAATTCAAGACTATCGACACAACATATCGACCACACACCACTTGGAAGAAGTATTCCGGGATTCTGGAGCTCTGGGTGCAGATGGAATTCTACCAGGTGGATTGGATTCAATGTCGAACTGTAATCATCCTAACGATGCTACTCTGTCTACATACCACACAAATACCGAGAACGAGCCCATGTTTCGTAGCTATCTGTCAACACATGGTGCCAACGATACTTGGTTACTTCCAAATATTAGTCCAAGGAAGGCCGTTGGTCAGACTTGTGATACTCTGAATTGTCCGCGTGGAACAATAACACGGGTTCAAGCTCCCTGTATCAGGGATGAGAATAATAAGTTGATCAACACCATTGGACCCGAAAGACGAGTCAAACGTATGGATGACGGAACATTCGGTTCAGCATCGATGACAGGTAACAGGAATTTCCTAAAATGTACCTTTGATATTTCCATCTGGAATCCGATGTCCAGAAGGGCTCTATTCATAAAGCAACCCACCATAATACTCTGACTCTTTATTTAACTATAATATTTCCTAACTGTGAGCCAAACACAAATTGCTCCGGAACGTGCAATTTTTTATTTTGCTAAGATATCTAACATTTATACAAAACCAATGTTGATGCTGTGACTTGCAGTTAAATTCCCATAAGCGACTTCGGGGCCTGAGTAAATCATCAGTTTAACCTAGGTGAAAGTGGACTTGAACTTATTTTCAGACTACCCTAATCATCTATCTCGGAAAACTTATATTACTAATTCTGCGTGAATTTCTCTTAAATATTACCAAGTAGTTATGAAATGATAAAATTCATCTGATCACCAGACCGGACATTTGAACGAAGACACAATAAACTACTAAAACCAATTATGTGTTCAAAAAACATTTGTGACGCAGCTGTTTTTGCCATGTGATGATACCACACTTGATACCACCCTGCCATGGCATGACGTGACATGACTTTTCCTCCCCCTCCCTAGTTCACCACATTCACCACATCGTTCGGACCAGTTCACCCCATATCAAATTTTCTCATCTTACTTGACCTCAACCCCTAACCAAACACAAATCACTCGACTCACTTGTCCAACACTTTGTTCAAATGACTCATGTCAACTCTTATGCTTCTTCGTTTCACATGATCATATAAATGTGCGTTTACAGCTGAATGAGAGCACGCGAAATGGATGGCCAATATCAATTCTGTTGTTGAGGAAATTTATGTAAAGTCGGAATATCTCCCTTAATTTTTTTCCTTCTTCCTCATTATGCCCGATCAAAGTATTTCTTCTCAGACCTAATTTATTGGCTACTTACCATGGAAGAAAAATAAATTATTGTGCATTGATGGAGGATGAATGCTAGGCAGATAATACAATTAGCAGCAAAAATTCACCGTTTTGTTTTGCAATCAGAACAAAACACTTTTATTGAAAAGTTATATTTTCGTACGTTGCCAGAAAATTCGTCCAAATTCGGTTCGTCTATCCGAATCTTTATTGGTATATTTTCACAATCTGAAGAGTTATCAAACTGAGTTTAATAAACCAACATTTTAGGGTCAATAGCAGATTAGCTGTTTTGCATTCCGGCAGGTGCAGTGAATTTTGTCAATTCACAGACAATTATTCTATTTGTATTACGATTAAGTGACCTGGATGTATTATTAGCTCAGATACGGATCGCTGATTTACCTTACTCAGATTCGCCCGACCATGAAATGCACTTGATGGTGTCTAAACGGGGCTTGACTGCAGGCAAGCATACCGCTGTCCCGTGTTCGACTTTTCGTGCCAGCTGTTCCCATTTGACTGGTGCTCGATCAACAACTCCGTGCAAACCGACGGGCAAATTACTGTTGGGCTTGATGAAAGAATCCTCAGGACCCAGTGAGGTACTTTACTGCTTTTTTTCAAATTGAATAACAAGTATATTAGAAGGATTTTACGATACTTTTTTCTTGTTTTTCGGGCTGTATGCTTAGTCCTATATTTCATAAATTATCTCCACATGCAAGCTCGAAAACTGAATTCACGGCGATCGATAGACGATACCTTGTACGTTATACCGTCCCCCATTTAAATCGGCATATATTCAGAATAAAAGGTGCGACTTGTAGGTAATATGAAACCATCCCTTTGTTCATTGGATGCAACCTCTGTCTCCTCGTTTCGATGTCCAAACACCTCCGCCTCAATTAATTATTGACTTGTTTATCCTGATTGACTTCAGTGAATCGATTGGCAAATATAAGTCCTCGAAAACCAATATTATGTACACCAGTTCAGATCTAATACTTGTCAAAAATTATATTAAAAATTCTCATCACTGGACACAAGCACATCAAAAGATGAATCTGAAGTCGAAATGCCACGGACGACGATACCGGAACCGATTCAATAGCTTTCCAGATTGAATGACCTCAACAGTGATACCTATTTAAACTGGGATGAAAAAGATTTGGAATATTAGGTGAACTCTAAAAGGATCGTGAAACGAAATAGAGAATCACTCGGAATCGAGTGAGCACACGAATAGCTAATCGCGGTAACCGGAAAGACTACACGCCTCTCCCACAGGTTGAATACGCTGTGACTTTCAGATCCTCGCGGATTTCCAAAGGAGAACGAGCAATGGTGTCTGTTTGTGACTGATGGACCTCAAATGTAACTTTCGTTCTCAAACCCAAACCACGATCCCTGCAAATAACCAAGAACCAAATTGCAAAACAGTAAAATAAAAATTATCTCTTTTGTTGAAATATTGTTCCACCTCAAATTCGTACTAAATGATTATGCAATTTGAATCATAAAATAAACATTTCAGGTATCAAATGTGAAACACTTCGTCCCAGGATTTTACTTAGCCGTGTAAGAAGCAATCCTGTTGATTTTCATATATCATACCATCAACTCGTCTCGATTTATTATGAAAATGAGAAAGCTCGGTAAAATATTCATTTATTGCTTCTTCTCTTCATGAATACTGGCATTCATGTATTGTAAGTCTCGTCAAAATCGGTTGCATATTTTAAATTGTCATTCTGTTTTATCCTGGCATTCACACATCAACCCTAACAAGTTTCCCTCTCCCTCCGTCTCTCGAAAGACATACTTGCACTAAAAAGGGGGACACCATTGCTAGCCACACAGGTGCACACGTGGCGACTTAGCGTGACTATATTTTTCATTCGTTCATTAACACATTCATTTATTGTCTGATTTTCTGGACAGATGGAGGATATAGATAGTATGGACAGTGGGCACGGCTGCAGTGTGGACAATGGGACGAGTGCACCCTGCGATCCGCTTAGTCAGAGGCCCAGATCTAGCAACCAAGTGACCACATTTCGATGCTATACCCCAAGTTCTTGTTCAGGTATGTTTGACAGTCATCCATTGACATTCTATCTCCATTCGTTAGTAATTGTGCTCTGCTGGTAGTAGGTTGTAAGCAACGCTTTTTTATTGCTTGTGAGTGTGTGTATTCGATTTATTTGGACTGTTCAGTCACCAATATCCGCGTATACTCACTGTCTTGCGGCCAGCCATGTTTTGCAGAAGACTGCCAGAAGAAAAATTTATGGCACGGTTTTGACGCCTATTGTTAACAATCACTGAAATGCGGTGGATCAACGTGTTGCCTTCAAACATCAGTTTGAAAAGTGGATTAAAAAACTGTACATTATTCTACCCTTGACACTATGACAACAGATGTCTGGAATATTTAAGCATCCGAAACAATTCAAGTATGTTCATTCATTCGGAAGCATGAGTGTCTCATAGCTATTACTTGTACGTATGAGACAGCCCAAATAAATGAGTGATATTCTTCACTGTGTTCAATAATTCTTGACAAAATTAAAGCGCTAATCACGGAGCTACAATTTTATTCGGTGGTAATTTTAAAACGTATTAATTATACAATTGTTTTTGACTGTGTGGTGTTAGTGGTGGTTCTCTATGAGATCATACCGTGACAAAATCCAAGGTTATAGATCATCGTAACAACGGTAATTGACGGAGACGCAACAATGTTTAAATTTAAAGGGTTTCATTTCAAATATTCTATTGCTTATCCCATCGACGAAGTAACCATAGCTACTAGCATTAGCTTAGGTAATCTACAATTAACAAATCAAACTCAACCGGAACATTTATTGGCAATTATTACCTGTTTTTCATAGGTCACCTAAAATACGGGGGTACACAAAACAGCATTTCATAGGTATTCTTATTCCCAACCAAGTGGCAACGCATGTAGACAGAAAGATCTCACCTGGTAATGTATCTCATACAGAGAAAGGTTTCAGTGACCCGGTAGTCGCTAGTCTACTGTCAACAGATTTATCAACTTCAACAATCATTAGGTCAGAATTTACGATGATGTTTAATAACATTTCACCTTCAAATATCAACCAATTTTCTACATCGTTTCCAGACATTAAGAAGCCACTGGATATACGCATGCCATTGATTCTGCATATGTTCTGCCTCATCCAACTAGACCAATGCAAGGATATATTTGTTCCTTCAAGATGAATTTGCTCTCCAAAAAGCTAAAGTAACGATCAGATTATTGAAAAAATTCACGCGTCAAATACGTGCACACCCATCTCGAAGATTATTTATTGATGTGACTAAACACTTGCGTTTCTTCCATTTGGCTCATCTCTTGTTTCTACATTCGAAGTATTTTGTTTTGGGTTGAAAGAGTTGCGCTGGCCTAGTGTCAAGTAAACCTTTAATTTAACTCCATTAGGACCATTTGGTGTTTTTTCCAAGGAACTTATGCATACTTTGACTTCGACTAAAACGAATTCCTCTCACTATTGTCATTTACTCAGGCCATTCACTTTCTTCCCGTGAGTTGTTTTTTTATTTAAACGCCGTGGGCTTTCACATATAAGAAAAAATTAAAACAAATACCTTCCACCAACCTTAAACTACGTCTTCGGTGGATAGAGAGACTCATTTATCCAATGCACCATTCCCTCATCTGACTGCCATGCACGAATTCCATTGGATTATCCAGTGAATTCATTCATTTGACACACGAAAACAGTTATCTTTATGTTGTTGCTTTTCTGCCTAACACTTTTCGAAATACTGTGTGTTTACGAAGCTTGTATCTGTCTAAAGCATTGCAATCGACTCACTGGATACCAAGGCGTAACAATTACAAGTGTTGAAGAAAAATATCCCATCCAGTCCAAAGAGAACTCTATGGGCGATAAAGGTTCATTCGATTTTGTTTTTTTTCTTAAACGTCTTCACAAGTGAATGGTTTGATCCCCCGGTAAACGGCAAATAGAGTTAAATTTATTTGAAACTTTTGATCTTGCTCCAAATTCTCCATGTGCTTGGTAAAATATCTAACCGATTACCCTTGGCGGTATATACCACCGCTATCGGAGGGAGAACGAACTTTTCTAAATTATTCGTGTCTGTTCAGAAAGACTCACCACCAGAAGAGGTGATTTTATTGTATGTCCTAATGATTGACAGTTTTAAATGTTTAGTACCCCTGAATTTATGGGCAATCAAGAAGTTTCGAATCGGAAACCCATTAGTTCAGTGCATTCATGGTCGGTTTTATTAGAAAGATATTTATCTGAGACTAAACCTTTAGCGTTAGTTGAAAGCTGTGCAGATTTTCCGTTGCATCCTAATCAGGAAATTGTTGATGATATCAAGTCAAGGATATCGTTTAGAGCAGGAATAAGCCCACTTTCGAAGAGGTAAATTTCTGGAACGTATTCTTTACGATCATACCGCCAAATATATTTAACTAAACCTAAAAATCGTTGAAAGCGATTGTTTGTGTAATTCACGCACTCACTATTTCATTCAACACTTGAGAGAATATATGTGCAGTCTACCCTGTACATGTGAACTCATGGGAATAAAGAATGGAAACAAATCTACACAGGTTCAACTCCGTAATCACCTTTTTGTTTAGAAATGCGCCTAATGATAACGGAAGCGATCCTAAATTAAACAGCGCAGACAATAGACCGAATAAGCATCCTTAGAAATCGAGAAGTTTCCATTACCCGTTCAGTGGTTCCGTTGACGGGACCGCTTCAATGGTCTCTAGCTGTATAATATCCACAATAGGTTATTATTATCATTATTAATAGAAAATATATTTTACTGTGTTCACGAGATCAACATTTTGTGTACAAATATACCTAATTTATAAAAAATTAACACCACTCTTCACCCATGTCACCCTGATTCAAATTTAAATGTACAATTCACGAAAACGGTAATTTTCTTTTTCTTCTGTCATTCATGAAACCCCTTCATACCACAAAATGCAAAACGTCTCATCGACAAACCGTTTCTGTTTTAAACTTTCCCCTTAACCATATTTTTGCATTCGCGAAGAGAGGAAACTGCCGGCTCGGAAATTCTCCACCGACCTAGATAATGGAGACTTTGACAGACTGGAGCGAGCCAATCTGGGACGACCCAGGAGTGGAACTTTGCCATCCGCTTTCAATCTGAATGATGACCCTTTGATTGGACAGTGTGATAGCAAATCTCAAGCCGAGCTGGCTGAGATTGGCAAAATTCCTTCATCCAGATCGCAACCGAGTCATCTTGTTCGGGCCAGGCAATCAGTCACTTGGCTGGATCCAACATATCAGACGTGTGAACGAGGTCACAGTCCGGGGACCGTGTGTGAACGTAATCAGACTCAGAACCAGCACTCAACAACTTGTCCCCATTACGTTGTTAACACCGACTTGACCCCCACAGCAACCGATCGAGGCACTTTGGTTATGCTGAATCCGGTTGATCGGTTAGGTTATGCACAACTGGTACACTCGTCCAGCGGTCTGTGTGATCGAAATTCACCCGCACAAAATGCCTATTCAAGCTTTCCCACCAGTTTTGTCTGATCATTTTAATCTTAGCATCTGCTTTGATGATTGGGACCCCGTTAGCATGGTAATGCCTGGCGCCTGTGATGCGAAATTATCATCACAAACAAACACTTGCAAATGCAAATGGAACGGTAAAATGCCAGACTGTCTTAATTGTGAAAAAGATGTGAACGGGGCCTCCGATGTGGGGCATTTGGCTTTAGCCGTTTCATAAGTATACTCAGAATATTCCTTCCAGCTGTACTATATATATGAACATAAAAATACATATATAAATATATACCTGTATGTGATTTTTGATAAGTATATGTATCCTTACTTTTGTTTTTGTTTCAGTTAACGGAAGTGCTTGCTATAACAAATTGGTTGAAAACCATAAACATCGTAAAACGGGATATCCGTGCATGGAAGTGTTTAAATTTCTAAATAAGATTACGAGGAAGTTGAAATGCATAAACTTTCATCATCCGTGTGAGACTCATATGCGGTGGGTTATTACCCAGACGATTGGAATATTTGTAACAATAACAATGATAATATTGTTGATTTGGGTTACTCGGATCTTGTGGCCGACCGATCCAAGAACTACATCTTAAATGAAACAAAACCCCTGAAGAAAAATCACGTATCGTTTTCTCAGCCAATCACCATGTAACCAAGTATTCGAAAACGTCAAGCAAACTTTAGTGTGATGCGCCTTTTCAATAAAATTCGGTCATCGAATCGAATCATTTACATTTACACACATTTAGATCTCAAAGACATTTCTGATGCATTTTTCATCTTATTATTCATCAATAATATAAAACACGCGTGACTATCCATCTATCATTAGGTGTACAATCCTCATGCACAAGGGAATGCGACTCGTGTGGTTCAATCTTCAAATGATTCCAAATTGGTTAACTTGATTACTTTTCTCGTGATACAGAACCAAAACTGCGTCTGATAGTATAGGTAAACGAAACTAAGGTTGCATACCAATAAGCAAATATTACGTATTAATCAACGAAGATCACAAGTGCATTGCTTACGGCTGACAAAGTTTTTGTTTTTACGCACGACCGCAGTTTATCCGATCAAGCAAGCAACTGGAAAGCATCAAACCATGGAAATTTGCTCATTGACAGTACATATACGACGGCTTATGAACCCAAAATTCTTCGCATAGCACGTGTTACCATTGCAGAAACGGTTCTTATCGTGAATGACCACGTTTCCTGAGTTGAATATGGTATATTCAGATTGGTTTATAATCCTGATGGTAAAAAACGAACTGTTAGACAAGACCAATTAATTTTTTATCAAAAATCTCAATTATCAATGAACTAATGTGAGGACTCAATCTTAATCAAACATTTTTGCTTGAAATGGTCACAGGTCGGTTGCGTCGAATCTATGTCATTGGAGCTTGTCGTGTTCAGAGGAACCACTGGAAATGATCCCAAAATGACCTGGATTTCTTCATCTTCATACCTATTTATTTATGCCAGCAAATCAAAGTAACACGTTTCGTGAGTGGAACCGATTGTGACGTGAATAAAAATATTCACAAACACATACACATTTGTAATCCCGTCAACTTTTCACCTTGACCCGTCAGTAACGTTTGGATATCAGCCTATCTGCCTACGATTCGCTCCATTATAAGAGTGTTGCAATGTGATTTGGATGTGAGAAAGATCAACTTCACCAAAAAATCAATCGGACGTCTTTTGTGCTTAAAATTCTTATGTTATGCGCTAATTAATGCAGGTGATAACCCTTGTCAAACTCCTTCAACGGTAGGGGGAATTCTCTAGATTGCAAAACCTTCCGATCCAAAGGTATCAAATTTCTCACTGAAGTCGAGCAGAATGGTTAATTTTGTGGTTATTTGTGAAAGACATAGCGTGTGTATTTTTCTGAGGGAGGGACTCCTTGGCTTGTGTCGAAAATGCCGCTCTATTTTTGGTGCAGGAAGTTTGGTTTCATCGATCGATATATCATTCGACACCGATACTCGTGGTCAGGTAATCTGTGCACATTTCTGTCGGATACCCCAGTTCACGATAAATTTAGGCGAATGCGAAGCCAAATCAAAAAGCGGTGGGGAAAAAAGATAGTTCGACAGGTATGAGTGCGTCAACAGTAACCACATGCGTGAGTGGGAACAGGTGTTTCAATGTGATATAATGAGACAAAGCAATTAACGAATCTTATCTGACAATATTGGTGCAGTAGCCGACCGAACGCCTTCTTACTAACTATAGATGTGAAACGGTTCGGTCTGGATGTTATAATATTATTATATAGATCAAAAGGATTCAATATAATCTTTTTATCAGAGGCTGCATGTCAGTATTACTGTCCATCACAACGTTCCGCTACTTAAAGAGCCCATGGATTCAAAGAGTACTGTCGTCTGCCGCATACCAAAGACAATTTGAATTGACAGTTATTACGAATGGTGTCAACGAGTAGATCGGAACGAACATACGGTTTCAGTTTTAAGGAAAAACATAACGCGGGCATACTTTGGTTGTCAGCCACATGTCAACAGCAAGTTGCGGACCTCACAATGTGTAAACTTCCTTCTGGTTCGGGTTGTGTCGGAAAACATATCACGAGCCTTTTGTTCCTGCTGCACACCAAGCTTCAGTTTGGCCCATAAACTTTTTGGTTCTGCTCAGCAGAGTTAAATGCCCACTTCGATGTTCCTCAATTCCATCTTGTTGTTCACTTCACCAAAATTAGTCGTTTTTGGCTTAGTCCAGCTTCATATATGAGTACCAATGAATGAATTTGTACTCGGTCTGTTCAATTTAGCTTAAAAACTAAGTATCGAGTTTATCCGGCTTCCATTCGCCCCATAATCTCTTATGATTGTGAAATCTGGCCGCTAAGAGTACAAGAAGCTTGAAGTCTTTGATCATTGGTGCCTACGCCGAACCTTGATAGTCAACTGGAGAGATCGTATTTCCAATGACGAGTTTCGACGGCGCTGCTTGAACATTGGCAAAAATGTCACAACGCCGGCGCCTTCAGTGGTTTGGTCAAGATCTCCGAAGGCCCAACGCTTAACTCTCGCGACAGAATGTGGCCCCTGCACCGTACCGTGGATGGCGTTGCCGCCTCGGTAGTCAACTAAAGACCTGGAGCAGTACGATCAAGGCGGATTTGGAATTACTGGGTCTCCAATCCGTATATGGAATTCGGAACTGGAACCAGAACTGGGTTTCACACTGCGTCAACCTAGTTGCCGATCGTCATGTGTGGGCCGCCAGAAACAGAGACGGGCCGTGGTGGCTCAATGGTAACGTCACCAAATTATTACCCCGGGGTTGTATGTTCGAATTCCACTACAACTGTCTGACTCCCCTTTCTGTGTAGACTAGCAGACCTTTGACTCGTCGCTTCGCCCTTCCTAAAATTGTTATCTTTGTATATTCAATAAAAGGAAGTAAAAATGAAAAAGAAAGAGAAAACACATCCAAATAGCCGACTTAATCTCGCGCAGGAGTTAGTCAATCAAAAGTAAAGTAAATTTAGTCTATTTGGTACAACTTGTCATTCTCACACCAAGAAATAGTAAATATCAACCGGTGGAGGATGATTTACTTTAAACACGTCAATAACGAATGAGTTGAATGAGCGAGAGTAAAGTGATTTTCTCGTATTCTAATAAATTGCTCTGTTTTTTTTACATACGACCCTATCTTGAAAACGCCTAATAAGCTAGGGTCAGATAATTTATCAAGCGTTGAATGACATTTTCACGCACCAAATGAACACTTGCGCAGTACTGATACCATAAATTTTGATAAAAATTATTGTTCACTTAGTAGAGTACCTGGTAGAATTTACGCGTGTTCTCTGGAAAACTCAGTGAGAGCGTATCTCTATTGCGTTAGTTTATCAGACTCTGCTACCCAAATACTCCTCGGTACATGTGCGAGGATGGGTACTTGAAGTTGCACGGAAGAACTAATTCTGTTGGAGATTCTTGATTCCAGTTATCTGGTCGCATCCTGTGTTGTCATTTTCAAACTGTCGGAACAATAATCAACTGATCATCTGAGGGCGTTATCAAAATAGACTTTATCACTCTAGCCAATCCTGAGTTGAGCTGTTTTGGCATAGTGGTAACACACGCCTTCCGTGTGAGGTGGCCTGAGTTTAGCTTCCCGACGAGACGGTGGCTGTGCATAATTTGGGAATTCTAACAAAAGCGAATGTTCAATTTCCTCAGAATGTATGGTTTAGTCAATAAATACAGAGAGGAAGAGAACTGGTCTTCGATTAAATGTTTGAAAGATGGTCAGCAAAACTTTTTCCACAACACAAGTAACTGAGAATTGAACATCAAAGAAAGTGTCGGGTATCAATGAAATGGAGAACATTGATTATTTATTTTGGCAGTAGTTTCTGCCTAGTCAGAATTGCACCCAAATAAGGTACTATTTCAAATGACTGAATAGCCCCACATAACTAACAATAAAAAAGCATATTGGAAAACAATCTCGCTTTCTGTGTTTCGTAATCAATATGTATATTTTGAACTATAAATAGGGGGTTGCTTGAATAGCTCAAAGTCGAAACATTACCATCCAGGAATCGGGCATTTTGCATTCTGACCAAAATCACGGATTTCAGTATTTGTCGCTTTAGTTCCCTCAACGCACTGAGTGCATGGTTGAATCGATGAACTGAAGATTGTACGTGAAGATGGAGTCCGAAGGATAGTCAGCTCAAATCAATAAAAATTGATTTTCGCACACCACTACTCAAAAGTAACTGTGAGTCAAATGCGAAGCACTGAAAATGGTTTTGTACAGACAACCTTTCAAGGTAAAAGAGATCATTAGACGAACGGCTGTGCGAAGGTGACAGTTGGATTCTAATTACAATCGAAGTGATTTATTATTTTTCATTATTAACATTTATTGAATTTTGAAGGTTTTTACCGGATCCCATACGTTGAAAATTGGGCTTTAAAATAGAATGGAAAGGTAAGTGGGAAAATTGGGATTGGG